TCACCCCCTGGCCACCTGGCTTGGGGACGCTGGTGTCACCATCCCTCGTCCCCAGGGAGGACCTGTCCCACCTGCCCTTCACCACCATGTGCATCAAGGAGAGCCTCCGCCTGCATCCCCCTGTCACCGCCGTGTCCCGGCGCTGCACCAAGGACATCGCCCTGCGTGACGGACGCGTCGTCCCCAAGGGTACGGCTTGCCCAGGGCACAAGATGTCCCCAATATCCCCATCCCTCCTTGTCGCCTGTCCCTAAGGCATCTGTTTCCATCTCACCAGGGATCATCTGCCTGATGAGCATCTATGGGACCCACCACAACCCAGACATCTGGCCCGAGCCCCAGGTAGAGCCACTTGGCCCTGGTGACATGGCCATGGGACAGCGGGATGTCCGCGTCACCATGGGCAGGGACAACCATGTCCCCACGGTGTGACGGTGTCCATGTCACTCCAGGTCTACAACCCACTGAGGTTCAGCCCGGAGAACAGCCAGGGACGGTCCCCATTGGCCTTCATCCCCTTCTCTGCTGGTCCCAGGTAAGCCATGGTGGGGACATGAGTGTCCCCAAGTGTCACCCCCAAGCCGGGTTGGGTTCAAGGTGGGGTGGTTGTCCCCCAGCTGTGGCATTTGGGCGTCACGGGGACAACGCTGTCCCTATGTTTTGGGGAGGTTCCACCATCTGCTCCACCACCCAGATGGTGGAGGTGGGGGGGTCTGCCGTCCCCTGCGTCCCCCCCCCGCGGAGGTGACAGAGGGGGACGTGGTGGCAGGAACTGCATCGGGCAGAGCTTCGCCATGGCCGAGCTGAAGGTGGTGGCGGCGTTGACGGTGGCACGTTTCACCATCCGGCTGGATGCGGAGAGGCCACCGCGCCGCAAGCCCGAGCTCATCCTCCGCACCGAGGACGGGCTCTGGCTGCTGCTGGAGCCGCTGCCAGAGGTGGCCTGAGGGACACGGGGACACCCTGCGTGGTGCGCGTCCTACCCGAGGGACGAGCGGCGAATAAACAGTGGCACACAGGGGACGGTGGCGTGGTGGCATGTGGCGGGGGACGGGGTGGTGTGGTGGGGCTGGCGGGGAT